GCAGAATGTATTTATTCCATTCAATGCTACAACTTGATTCTGAACATAAAATCGCATGAACAGAAGATGAACATGAAAATAAGGTGAACACAGTTTCCAAATTTCATCACAGACATCCAGTGAGAGGAACGGTGGATGTATGCTCCCATTCCTCAGCGATTGTAGCCTCTCACTCGCATACTGCTGTGTCACGTCCTGTCGTGAGGAAAACCCAAGCTTTCCACATTGCAGTTGCTTACAGGTTGATTTATCCATAGTTCTCCCATTAGTACTGTTTACTGTAGTCTGCAGAAAGCATCTGGCACTGCTTATGTTACTGATATCGCTTATAATGCTAGAGTCAGTGGTGTGTTTTGCTTGTAAATAATAATTTGGACTCAATGTACTTTGGTGCTAAACAAATTCATGGCATGACAGTAGCTGGAAATGACTATTTTTATCAAAAGAGCTATCGATAGTCACTTAAAAGCTGTATTTGAATGAGAGGCTACAGACATGGTGTCATAGTAACAGCATGTAAACAGCTTTGCCTATTAACACGTTTGACACTACCAGTGAAAACAGAAAAATATATGACAAAATGTGTTAAAGAGATAACTATGGAGCCCAGCTGGTGATGTTCCTTCTTAATAAAAATAATGTGTGACCCAAGACTTAGTAAGGCCTGGAAACAAGATAGATTGTTATAGCTAAGTCATGGGCACAACTTAGTATGGCATGGGAATGAGACAATTAAGTAATTCCCAAGCCTTACTAACTTGTGGCCATGACTTAACTCATTCCCAGGCCTTACTAAGTTTTGGGCACCTGTTCCTGTTCCCACACCTTACAACATGCACCGAACTTGGATGAGGATTCTGGTGTGGTTCTTTCATACTTCATTCTTAAAGACACATAAAAGGCATTACACACGCTGGAACCCATCCATCATCTAAACTGCTTATCCTTCTGGGTCACGGTGACGCTGGAACCCAAAATGACTAATTCTAACCAAGCAGACTATCAGCCCCCTGAAGCCATATGCAGGTAAATGCTTTGCTTAAAAGGACAAAAGCAATAGCCAGCATGCAAGATCAAACCTGTGACCTCTATGACCATTATGAAGTTTACTACTCTATTAATACCCAGATATTACAGAAATCTGTTATAGAACAGTGTAAAAGTAATTCATTCACAACTCTTCTTTTTCATTCTCACTGCAGTAGTGAACATTACCTTCAGAATGGTTAACAGAATTTCGTCACCTACTCTGATGGTACAATGTCAGTGGTACATCGCCACCTAGTGAACAGAGAGGAGAAAAGCAAAAGGGGCCTGCTCCCTTTACTGCTTGTGTGTTTATGGCAATAATAATAATTTTTATCTATACACCTTTTCTCACACTTGGGCTTACTTTAGGCTCTGTTTTTCATAAGAAAATCTCACTGTCCCTTGGAAAACATAGACTGGAAACAGTGCAAAACATACAGTGGATGCTGAATATGATCAGGTCTCTTTGAACTGACCTACATATTACTACCACCATTTTTTATCCCACATATCCACGTTTCAGCACACAGGTTGACAGAAATACAGATGTTGAGCCCAGCAACCACCACAATGTGCCACATTGAAAGATATCAGGCATGTTCGCAAGCTTGTGAAAAAGTACCTTCAATAGTCTGGGCATCAGGTATTCCAGTGCTTGCCAATCCTGGTCCTTTAGTCCACCTACACTGTACATTTTATTTATTTTATATAAAAATCACATTTTGAAAATAAAACAGACCTAATGTGTTCTTGTAGGTCTGCACAGGCGTGAAATTGAAGCCTGGACTCTACTCATACCTGGGATATTGAGACCGGATGCGACCAGGCCTGACTAGTACTTCCAAATTTGAAACCCAAGCCCAAATCCCAACCAGCTTGCACTGCTACGGAACAGCTACATCCATTTATGAATACATTCATAAATTAATAATAAAAAACAAGTCACTCATTAGAAAACAAAAAACAAAACCCTGCTCAGGCAGAGTCCAATGTAGTGCATAAACCATCAGCATGAACCTGGCCCGAAACCTAATATTCAGGCTCAAGTCAGGCAGCAGACCTCTATATTGTTGCCCGTTTAAGGATTGAACTGTATTAACAAAACCTAGATTTGTGACATGTTTCATAAAAAGATTTTGTTTTGAAACCTAATTATGTGAAAATAATGAAATGTGCACTTTTTGTTATCATATACATTGTTATTTATTGTTTGATTTGTAAAACATTAGACAAACATTACATGAAATCAAAGACATGAATTTACAATACTTAATGCTGAAAGAAAAAGGGGGGGAATGACGACCTTTGCTGAATTTTGTTAACAATTTTACCAGAAAACTGACTTCCTGGTGAGAAGGCATACAACTGTTTGACTGTGAACAGAGATGGCATCTTTAGAACAGTTCATTTTACAATGCCTAATCACTCAGGCACAGTGGAAAGCTCTTCTACATGGTTTTTCAAACAGTTTACTGTCGTTAATGGACCCTGTGCTTATGGTGGCCCATGAGGGTCAGACAAGAGAGAAAATACAAAGAGAGTGAGTCTCCCCCTTTTAAGAGTGAAAATGTCACTTTTCCTTTAATGTGATCTGATCTGAGTCATGGACACTTTAGCAGCTGCGTTTGAATATTTGTGAAAGTGGTATGTAGATACCACTGATTCTGAGGTCTCGGCGTTATTATGTGGATGAGTTTATGTTGCATGTTTGTAAGTCCCGTATGTGTAAATGCCCATTCACAGTCAACCAGATCAATTTGTGAACAAATCACTGCTAAAAGGGGAAATGAGGGAGACTCAGAGGTGATTATGTTCATTTTTTTGTAAATGCTTTTGTGGAGCAGCAAAATCCAACTGAGCAGTCAGAATCAAGATGGGGCGGGGCCTGAGGGAGGCCAACCAATCCCAGCAGCTACTGAACACTGTCAGTCACAGGAGTGACCACACCTACAACAGCTTTCAGCTTTCTCTAGTTTGTGTGTGCTTGTGTGTATGTGTGTGCATGTGTGTGTGTGTGTGTGTGTGTGTGTGTGGAGAGAAAGCTGAAGATAAAAAAACACTGTACACAAAGATAATAAACAAAGAGCCGTTATGTTAAGGCGATTCTGTTGCGTTGTGTGAAATTCATAAAATTTTGAGGTACTGAGTCGTCCATGTGAGCCACTGGATGGCAATAAATACAAACATGAATCATAAAAAAATACAAAATTAAATGTGTCTGTAGCCCTGTGAGGTAGTTTGTTTCGGATACATTTTGGACTCAAAAAAAAAAGAAAAAAAAAAAAGAAAAAAGACCAACATCAATATCATCCTCATCATTATCATCATCATCATCATCATCATGCGTAGAGTATTGTCATTGTTGAGACTGCTGCGGTTTTCTTTCTGTTTGGATTTGTATAAAACAGGTAGATGCTGGTGTCGCAGACCTTTTTTCACCATCATCACAAAACCAGATATAACAAAGAATATTCAGAAGTCCTGTATTTTTTCAAATTGCTGAAACTTTAAACTGAAAGGCTTTGTCATTTCTCCAGTTTGAAATTGAGTGAAAACATAAAATTACACACAGAAATGAGCAGCTTTAGATGAAGAAAACAAGACAGAAAGAAAGAAACTATGAGTTTTCCTTAACCTGTTAGGTAGAGAGGAGTTACCATAAAGCTAGACCCCCCCAATGTCCTATATCACTGCATATCTACAAATACACACACACACACACACACACACACACACACACACACACACACACACACACACACACACACACACACACACAATTATCTGCCATTCTATCCCTCCGATACCTATCAGACTACCAAAACTATTAAAAAAGGTGCACGTGGCAGGTGCAGTAGTGCAGAAATACACTCTGCAGCAGGGATTTAGGTTTGAACCCCAGCTGTGCCATGTGCCTTTGGTGGCTGGGAGGTCTACAAAGACATAACTGTCAGCATTCTCATCATGAGAGAGCAGGACAACAAGATATCTGATGCTGCATCCTAAACTGTACACTAAACACTAATTCTAACTGTGTATGAAAGTATATAGTATGTAGCATATTCATGTGTACTCACAAAATCCAGCATCCATAGTTTTTTGAGTATGGCGTTGTTCCACAATGCAATAAAGTGGAAAAGTAGAGCTCCATTTTGATATATATATATATATATATATATATATAGTGAGACACTAATATTAGCCTGAGCATAAGGCTAAGTGGCTACAGATGGTAAACTTTGTGACATTCACAATTCCGTTCTTTCTTACTAGATTAATTACAGTTTTGTGGCCAAATTACAATGTACTACCACTTTTACTGAACCATGGTATAGTTACATACTTTCATAATAGCTTACTGTATACTCACATGATTAGTGATTCATATACAGTTCATATACAGGGACACAGCATAAGAATCCCTCCCCTTCATCACCATATGACATCCCAGTCTGGAGAGCATCAAGATGGGGTGAAGCTAAGCACAGAGCATTCCCCTCCAAGTGCAGGGAGGTGTTCAGCATGCTGCATGGCCAATAGTCTAAAACGATGTATAGCCAAGTGTCATATATGTACGAGGAGGCACATGCAGGCTTTGCCCACCCAGACTGGTGGCGATGTTGGGGAGAGAGACTACAGGATGAATATTTGGGCAGGGGCTATAACTAATTTAGGAGAGGGGGAAATAAATAATGTAAAAAAAAAACTCGTCTTTTAAAATAACATTCATAGATATATGTGAATAACATTGAATTTTGAGTGCCATGACTAAGTTATCTAATGCAAATAACTGTACTGGGAAACCATGTTATCACACTCTCTCCCACACACACAGACATGCAAACACCCACACGTATCACTAGCAACCCAGGCAGGGCTGAGTATGCCAGGCCCAGACGGAAATATGAATATACATAGTGAATACATAAGTGCTTTACAGTTCTGATGTTCTACACCCCCCCCACAAAACCTCACACACATTCAAACATCTGCACTACTGAAATCAGTTCAGTCTCCAGGTAGTTTTGTTTTCCTTTCGGGTTAAGCAATCACAATATCATCATCCCTACTAAAAACACCAAGCTCATCTCAAAAGCAGTACTCTATCAGCTCTAATAGTAAATCACACAAGAACATTCTGCCATCGACCCTGAGCCTAGACCAAGCAGCTTCGGCCTGCCATCGCCACGCTGACCACACACGCTTCCTTCACCAGACGCACAAGGAACCAGTGCAGTCAATGCTCTGCAATGAGCTTTTCAATGGATGAGCAACATCCATCCACAGCGAGTCTAGCCATCCCCCACACAGATATACTAGGAGCCCAGATGCCACCAGAGCAGCAAAGGATCCATATTTAGACTTTGTAACATGCACAAGTCATTGATAAGTGGTAAATATGCACAGATGTAAAGAATCAAAGTTCAGGCATAACGCATTTCATTTTGCACGGATCACAACTTGCTGCCTTTTGAATGAGCATTATTTACCTACGTTTAGAGTTGCTCTGGAGGTTATGTCTCTGAACATATTACAAAACTGTGTGGTGCTTGTGTGGTGCCATAAAAAATACGGCCTTACCTCACTACTGACCGAACTTATCTCTTTCAACATGATTAAAAGGAGCACACACACACATCAAACTCATAAGCAGTTATGGTAGTATCACAACTTATTCTACAAAAAGAGGAATTGCCACAGAAATGCATGATAGGAAATACTGGCAATATGAGTAGTATTATATACGATACAGTAAATCACTAGCAATACTCATGATTAGCCGTTAGAGGGAGTTAGAGCAGCAAATCTACCAGAGACTGGAAAAACAGTGAGAGTGTGAAGAGAGAATCAACAACTCGGTCTCAACTCCCTGCAAACTTAAGGAGCAGCCTCATGGTCATGTTTTCCCCCATGGAATCTGATGACTGGAGGGACATGCAATGAGGATGGATTTATAAAGAATTACAGGAGATCTGTACCTCAGGCCTCACTGCAGGGGGTGACAGCCCATCAGCATCAACTCCCTAGAAAAATCAATTGCAATGGATAGGTTTTTAGGGCTTGTAGGAGATTTCACAGCAATAATGAGCGAAGAGAGAACAAAATATCTACAGAGAAATGAATGAAGAAATATAGGGAAGTTATATTATGCAAGCCAAGTTGATGGTAGATCATCTTTCAAAAGCCTAACAATTCACTGTACCTATGACAGCGCTAGGAAGGAAAGTATACCTATACCTTAAAAACCCCATTAACAGTTCCATCCTAAGAGGTTACATGGTAATCAGCTTATGGTTTGAGTATATATGTGCATTTGTGTAGCCATTATCCAAACCAGTCATTATAGAACATTACTGTCCTGCTAACAGCCATAGTAAGTTTAAAGAGAAAAGTTATTTATATGTACAGGTATCAGAGGTAAAGAATAGGTATAGAGTAAGAGAATACAGAGTTAAAGATTATAGTCATATTTACACATTAGCGACAAATGCTGTTAAAGCACTGGCCACTCCACACAGACCTAGAGTAATTACTCAGTCACTACAAGGTGCATAACAGGAAAGGAATCGACAGAAAAGATGAGCAGCTAGCCAGAGCCCTGGGTTGAGGGTCAGAGGGGGGCAGCGCTGCTCTGTGATTGGTTCAGTGGCTAGGCTAATGGTGCTGTGTGGAGCATTAGCTCTGGTGACCGTGTGCATTTAAAGGCAGGAGGTGAAAAGAGGGAATCAGCAGTAGTGGACAGCACTTTGGGGACCAAGCAGAGCTTCAGAATAGGTTTGTCTCACACACTCACGCAAGAGCTACACACACGCTGTAATACTGTTGGCTAGTGTTCCTGGAATAAAATAAATGATAGTTTGCACCACATTGGCTGATGGCGCTCCATGACTGTCAATATACTGTGATAAAAACACCCATACATCTTCTACCACCCAAAAACTGTGTCTGTGAATGATAAAAGACCGCTCATTCACTCACTCACTCGCTCTCTCTCTCGCACGCTCGCTCTCTGTGTTTCTCACATGATTGTCCATACATTCGCTACTTCTCCACCACAACCCCTTGAGGTCATGCCCACTGACCCCCCCCAACAACCTGTGATCCGAATGGGGCTGTTGCTAGGTGACCTGCCCCCCAAACACCTCCAGCACAAGGGGTGTGAGCTGCATGCTGTGCTCGGGCTGGAAGGAGAGCGAGCGGTACTGTTTGGAGTGTTCCTCGTTCAGGCTGCGCAGGTCCGCCAGCTTCTGGATCATTTTGGCGTAGAGCAGGTGGCCACCGGAGTGGTGCACGCGAATGTACGCCTGCAGGACATCTGACAGCTGGTCCTGAAGAGCCTCCACACGTGCATGATCCTGCACACCAGGCCGATCTGCAACAGCAAACACAAACCACCTAATTTACATGCTCACAACGGATCTATGCTTCACCCGCAAAAGTATTGTATCACTGCTATTCCTGCAAGGCAGCCGAAGCTTTTCAGAAAGTTAACCTTTTTTTTTGCATAATCAGGTTTTTCAGACATCTCCTAGATAGGCTAAATAGTAAGTGGACTAGCATCAGCTTCAGTAGGCTAAAGTTACTCTAAAGACTATCTGGAGGTGAGGTGGGATAATGTCAATTTACCACGGGACGTCTCTAATGTTTATGATCGGTTTGCGCATGATCAGAAATCTAGATATAGTGCCAACTCTAATTTACGCTTGGCCGTCACACAAAAAAAAAGCAATATGTTCAGCGGCTCACAAGTACAAAACATTTCCAAACACTTAAATTTACTCATAATTTCCTTTAACATAACCACTTACCTAGCTGTAATGTATCATTAACATTGTCATTAGCTTGGGAATTTACAGCCAACAATTAACATCACGGCATAAAATCAGATTCTTCAACTGCCTCCATTAAAATGCAAAAATTCCTATTTCACAGAATATGATGGATTATCTGCCAACATGGTAATTTGCATGGAATTAATTTAACTTTCATATTTTTCACTATTATTGTTATTTCTACAATTTGTTTAATGGTAGGTGAAAGCTACAGGAATCTTTACTGACACAAAAGCACGCAGTCCATAAAAATGACTGATATGGTGGAATCAAGTGGGACTAGACTCACTGAGACTCTCTGGTAATGATTAAACTACCCCAGTAAAAACATTTCCCCACGTTTACTTAATGGATAAACCTGTACACTATAACAAAAAACACAAACAGACAAACAAAAGAACACATGTGTGGGCTGGGCATGGATAGATAAATTCCATGGACAGCAGGATCAATTAGCAACACTAGTAGGAAACGCACCAGGAGAGAGCAGGCAGATAGCCATCAGCAGCACATGCTCTTCCTCATGCAGATTCAGCTTCTTCAGGCCAACCTGAAACTTCACCAGAGGCTCCAGCAACTCCAGGGTGTGTCCAGCTACACACATACAGAGGTTTAATTCATCAGGCTTATGACAAATAGTGTGACCAAGACATCATTTGGACTGGAGATTTGTGCATGTGTCTTACATCACTACATCTGTACTGTGAGTATGTAATTAGACTTTGTCTGACACTTCTGAACATGTTTGTGGTTGTAAGTACTTTTGTGATGTGATGTTTAAATGTACAGTGTTTCACTCTCTTAATTGGGACCAAAGGTTGCAACAACTACAGGAAAACACAGAAAAACATGAATATTTTTTTTTATATGTACATTTTGCTGGTTCCCATGAGGGAAGATTCTATGTTTTTATTTTCTTGCATAATCTTTTTTTTTTAACTGAGCAAGTTGGTTATTGATTTATATCTAGGTAAACTGGTTTACATTTAGGTATACTGTATAGAATATAGCTGCTATGCCTACACCTACAATTTGGTCCATGGAAAACTCTATTGTGTGTGTTTTATGTACCTTTAGTGACATCATTGACACAGTACTTGAACTCAGGCCCTCCACAGCTCCAGCTCATGTCCTCCATGTTGAAGGACTGGTTAGACCTAAGCATGATCACTTCAATCACACTGGACTTCAGCAGAGCTATCTGATCCTCGGCAGTTAACTCCCTGTAATAAACGCACACACATGTATAATTGTATTTGATGATATGGTCTATACTGCACTCAAACAGACAGAAACAGTTTGTGAAGTGTTTCTCTCTCTCTTGCTACCATGACAACATGAGCTTCATAATGAATGTGCAAATGTGCAAGGACATGTTAACTCATTGGGCTAGATAACTCACACGTAAACATGAAAATGTGCAGGCAAACACATATTCAGGGACATTGTTTCTTCTCCTTCTCTAAGGAAATCAAATTGATCTGTTTAGCATATTTTTAATCTTTTGTAGGTTAGCTGTTCGGTACTTTTAAGTGTAAACAAACTGTCTATCATACTTCTGCACACTTCACACTAAAATATACAAAGCCATAACAAAGTCAGGTTGGACTGTTTCTCAGCTTAGTCTGAAAACAACATGACTTCACATTCCAGGAGTACAGGACTAACTATAGGCTGCATCAACAGTTCATATCATCTCGTCAGCTTTTGGGTCATGCTAAATGGGTGTTCTTAAGAATTTTACTGCTTCATTTCATGATGAACCTGAAGAAATGACGCACATCACAATGTGCAACAGAGCATTTCAAAATGCTTGTGTGATTTTGATGGGAAGACAAACTGATAAAGCAATAAGCCAAAAAAACAAATAAAATGAATAAATGGAAACTTGTTTGCCATAATGCACACAACATAAACCGTCATGTGCTAATCATGCACAAACAGCTGTACCTAAATCCAGGAATCATCTTGGCAAAGCCGATAACCTTCTGGATGCTGTAGCTGACCAGGTCAGCCAGGTGAGGCAGCATGGAGAGGCGAGAGCTGTTCTCATCCGGAGACTCTGGACTGCTGGCCCCCTGATCCTGATACATCATCAACAGGCTACTCAGATTCATTTTACTGTCACCAGACTCTGCTGACACACAGACAGAAAGAAAGAAAGAGAGAGAGAGAGAGAGAGAGAGAGAGAGAGATTCTTATTGACTTATTTGTATAACTATTATTTCATATCAAAAAGCATCCTTATATTTGGTTCCTTTTTGTTAGACAGCGAGTTTTGCTTGGCCTGCCCAAAGAATCAGCATACACATCCTTATCTTCTGAGAGGCTACATATTTTGGCATAATGACAAAAACGCTGTCTATCATCACCTTTCCAACCCCCCAAACCATGCCTTCAGCAACGTAAACAGAGACAGACAAAAAGACAGAGAGAGACAGAGAGTGTGGGGGGAGGCAGTGGTGGGAGGGGTAATTACTATTTTAAACTTTTAGGACACACACACAAATACATTTGTCCATCCACAGAGCTGTGTCAGGATTGGACTGCTTATTGATGAAAACTGGAAGTTTCTAATGATGCTGAAAGAAAAATAGGGTGAGGAAAAAAAACAACAAAAAAAGGTGTTGTGAATTGACCAGAGCTGTGAAAACAACTAGTGATTTGCGGGGTCCGAGTGTGTGTGCGTGCATGTGTGTGAATAATCTGTTGTTCATTAGAGTGTTTTTCTTGTGAGGTCAGGCCTGTTCAGATGGAAGGAGCCCACTCTGTGCAAGGAAGATGTCCTCTATCTATTTAAGAACAAGACAGACAAACACACTGCAGGTGACATGTGTGTGTGTTGCAGTGCTATATTTGAAGAAATATGCAGTAAAAGGCAAAAACAACTTTTTCTACTGGCTTGTTCTACTTTGCATATTTTTTTAAATGCACACAGCCCACTGGATCAGTACAAGTGGGCGGCATTTGCAAAGAAACCTTACACCGGAAACCCTATCTGGCAAACGTGTACTTTGTGGTATTTCTGATTTGCTTAAATTTCAAAGTACACATACCACCTCCTAAACCTCTCATCAAGGGATCGGGTGCTTGCAGATAAACACACCTAGCTGTTATCTGAATATGCATCATGACAAATCACAGGACTTATGGGTCTTATGAGAAATTAGTAAACTAGTTTCATGGCAAGCACAGACTTCCAATTAATATAGGCAGGAATTAGGGATGCCCCGATATGGGAATACTGGGCCGATGCTGATATCTAATATTTTATATGTACATATGTTTACATTTTGAGCATGCAATACTGCCTTCTGTAAAGGCCACTGCATACCAGACACACCATGTTATGCAGCGTCCAAAATTCGAAACCATTGTTTATATGAAGGCATGCACACCAGCGCCAACACTGCGCATCAATGCTCTAACACAGAGAAATGTACACAGAGAAAGGCAGTCAGTCTTTCGGATAAACAGACGAATGCTAATGGTAAGTCACCTCAGCTAACGTTACTATCTCAGCTCGTATCTTTCAGCTCAAAAACAGCTACTTTGTGAAGCGGTAGTAAACTGATGTCAAGCGTGATAAATAATGCTGAATGCTTTATTTCATTCAATTTATACAAGTAGAGTGTAAAAATGAACTTGAACCTGGCTTTTATCGGCTCTCCCTGCTAGCATTCGATGGCAGTACTCCAATGCTATGCTACAATGTGTGGTGGCCTTAATTCAAAATTGTTGTCTATCCACTGTGCTGTCAAACTGAGAATACTCACAGAACTCACATCAGATGTCCAAATATCTGTGCTAAGGTTAATGGATGTCATATTATCAACAAAGAACTTGTGAACCTGAGTCGTTACCATGTTGTGTAGCTCCGGTAGGGCTACATTGGAACAATAACGACAACTGGGTATGGTGTAACAAAGCTCAAGATGTTTTAAAAGCCATCCTCCACCACAGAGAACGGATGATCATCCAGAGCGATAAATTCCAACATCTTTGCTGTAATAGTTGTAACTTTTGGACTGATTTTGTCTTTTTTTTATTGCGTGTGCGGTGCTATGGGAGACATTTTAGCTGCACTGGTGTAGTGCAGTCAGCATCGGCTAAACGTTACCAGTTCACTTCCAGCATACAATAATGCGTCATCAAATAACAGTTTGAAATATCACACCGAAAAAAGGCCTTAAAAAAGCGATATTACTGTGCATCTCTAGCAGAAATTATTGTAATGAATGAAGTTGGAGACAATCGAGATGATAAGTCTAGGGTCTAGAATCGGTACACATAAAACACTGCTTTGCTAAAATTAACCCCTTAAATTTTGAGGCTTACTGAATGAATATTACCACAACTTTTTATTCAGTAAGTACAAGGAAAACAATGCAAACTGGCTGAGTTGTATAGGTGAGTGCAAGTGCCTCAAAATTACAGTAAGAATCACTTTACTGTCCAAGTACACTTGCATGTAATAAGATCTTGTGTGCACAGTACTGCGCAAAAGTCTTAGAAACCTGAGAATATTGGACTTAAAATGTTATTTATTTAGGCAGTAAGAATGTACACTATATGAACAAAAATATTGGGACACATATTGCACTTACAGGAGCTTTCATGACATCTCATTCTAAATCCATAAAACCATGCTGTGGTTCCTACACGATTCCACTTTTTTTAATAATACCTCTCACAGATCGTGGAATATCTAGGAGGGAAGACATTTTGTGAACTGACTTGTTGCAATGGTGGCATCCTATTACAGGATCAAATTGAGGGTGAGCTCTTTAGAACAACCCATTCTTTCACAAATGTTTGTAAAGGCAGACTGCATAGCTAGGTGCTTGATTTTATACATCTGTGGCAATAGAACTGAATGAAATACCTGAATTCAATGATTAAGAGTTGTGTCCCAATACTTTTGTCTATACAGTGTATTTGCTCAGATAAAAAAAACACTAGTATTAGAACACATACAAATCAGAATAATACAATAAGCAATGGCATGTCAATGTGTTCATTTAGTCATTCGTCCTCGTGCTTAGAACTTTAGTGTAAATGGGCAGGGCTATACTGCTGCAGGCTGAATAAGTTGACATATGTTATTGAGTTGGTTCTTGTGACATCACAGAAACAATAAACTTAAAAAAAGTTTTTGCTCCATAGTTTCCATAAATGGACTGTATGGTTGTGAACAGCGTATGTTGAAATTTTATCAGTGTTTACATATTACTTCAAACTCCTTTATTTTAAAAACGCAAGGCAAATTCTGTTTTAAAAAGCTTATTCTTCTACCCAGCTCACAGGAAATCAACTTATTTTTTCCAAAACAAGCTAAAAAGCCACTGGATTATTGGATTACTGGATTAATGTTTGTTTACATTTACTCAAATCATATATGGTGTTTTTATAAGAAAAAGCACACTTACTGCCCAGATGAATGGTTTTAAATTATTTGCTTATAATTATAAATTAAGTGCCTAAGGCTTCTGCACAGTACTGTATAGGCAGATGTGTGTGTGTATGTATGTTACCAGGAGAGTGGCTGAAGGAGTCAGAGGAAGCATCTGATAATGAGTGCAGAGAAGCAGCTCGACTGGCACTGCGTGTCACAGGACCTTCTCTCACTGGAGGCTGCAACACACACATGCGCACATCCACACACGCACATAGACAGAGAAACACACACACATACAAATTTATGAGCCCCTTGAATTATGCTTATTATTCAGTTATTATCTGAAGTCTAATTCAGTAATTACTATAAACTTATTTAGTATCTACTAGAAGTGGACAGAATACTTTGAAGAAGTAGCAATAGCTAAATACTGAACATACTGTCAAAATTTCACCAGTAACACATTCCTTTCCAATTTATAAAAAATAACGTATTCAGAAAACCACTGCCTAACGTGGGGACCTATATAAACACACAAGTAAGCATATTATTAAATAATCAAGTTTAAATACGACAGCATGTAATAATAACTGTTACATGCTATGGTTACCTTGCTTTTCATATTTAGTGGGCAAGTATTCTAACTGTAACTGTATTCCAAATACAGCATTTTCAAAAGATATGGACTGAATAAAGTTACTGTATTCTGAATACGTATTCTGTTACATCCCAACCCTGGTAACTACTGTGAAGCTATTATATAAGTGGGTAAAACAGGCATTATTGCACAATAGCAATCATGAAACAGAGAAGAAATGGGGGATTACTCGAAAGCGGTAGAAATCAGAGTAAGAGTCGTCATAGGTTTTGTGATGAGCCTCCACCAGCGTGTTGATGATCTTACGCTGCTCCTCAGTCAGACGGGGCTTCTGCGCCTCCTTCTGTGCCTCCTCGTCCTTCCTTCTCTGGATTAGATCCTTCTTTCTCTGCACCTCCTCATCTGTCAGGATAACTAACACAGAGATCTCATAATTATCAAGTGTAAAGGGCCATGGAAGGTCAAAATAGAATAATAAGACATTCCAGTAAAATAATGACAATGTCAACGGCAGTAGGAATTCCAGGGCATGTATGTGAGAAACCACAGTCTTCAAAGTTGCAAAATGTGTGCCGTGTAATTACTCACACTCCTTCATCATGCCAATATCCAGGCAACGTTTGAGTCGGCAGGCCTGGCAGTGGCGGCGGTTATCCTTAGTGATGGTGCAGTTTCCATTGAACGGGCATGTAAATGTGGCCTTCCTCTTCATACTGCGTCTAACATACATAAACAACAATGCATAATTGTAAGAATTTGTGCTGTACGGTGCAAGTTTGGATGAACGTCAACTCTAATATACACTCCTGGGTTTACTAGCAACCGAAGACCTCGTTTAACCTTCTACAGCATCCAGTTTTCAGATAAGGGAAAACCAAAATATCAAAATGAAAAAAAAAAAGTACTTTATTATTATTTTGTTACTGTTAATGTTTTGACAGCTTTACGCTATTATAGCAGTCTGTAAGTCAATTTGCACTGGATAAAAGCAAGGAGTTACTACCCGATGTGCGCGCGAATGGTTGGCGAAACGCCCAGGAATTTAATGGTTAAATTTGTGTGCTCGTGTGTGTTCGTACCTGAAGAAACCCTTGCAGCCCTCACAGGTCATGGCATTAAAATGGAAGCCAGTAGCTTTGTCTCCACATACGCCACAGATCCGTGGAACATTCCGGTCAAACTCATCAGGCGCCTGCGTGGATGTAGTAACTGTGGACTCCATCACTAGAGAGACAGACAAAAAGAAAGAGAGAGAAGAGAGAGAGTGAGAGAAAAACAGAGTAATTTCATTCCGTACGGTAAGCAGTGGGTTTACTGATTTACTGAGGGACAGACTGAGGGGGAGGAGCTGATGGAGAAATTGACTGTATGTAATGGGTAAAGCAGCTGGAAATCCCCGTTCTTTAACACTGACCAATATCATAACAGGACCACAAATCATAACTGACATGCTTTAGCACAGTGCTGAATAATTAAAAATGCTTTAATAGAACTGTAAATCATCTGAACTGAGATACACCAACGGGGACAACAGTCTGTAAACTGAGAAAACATCTAGCGGATTCTTTACATAAGCAGTGCTAATGCATGCACACTGAAAATGAACATCAACAGACAAATGGGAATATTGATGAGCTACCAATGTTTCATTACAAAAAGACTGGGAATCTAAGAAAGGCAGTGATGGCAGTGCGATTTTGCATGACAATGCTTAAGAGTTCATTTGCTGATCATTTTTACAGCAGCATTCAAATTCAATCTGGCACTTTCGTAATCGTTATTTTATGGTAATCAATCACCCTTTCGTCTGTTGTCTGAATACCAAACTACCACAGCTCTGCAACTCAACATACTGAATAGTCCTAGATTTAAACCTCTTCACTGATGATGATCAAACCATAAAACCATCCAAGGTTTTTTTTATCTTCAACACAGAAACCTTTAGTGAAGCACCTACATGTGACACCACGATAATAACATCTTCAGCAATTCCACAAATGAGCAGAAGGCACAATGCTGGTGATACAAAAACACAGTATCTCACAGAACGGCTCAGTGCCCTCCCTCTGCAATCACAGAGCTGCAGTCCAGTCTGTGAAAGCTCTGGAGACTTGACAACGCTACACGTGCAAACAGGAACAGCGCTGGCTAAATAAACACTCCGCTGTGTAGGGAATGATGTCACAGCATTCCTGTTTTTACTCAGAATTCCACGTTCTAAGGAAATTCCAACTTTCATGAGAGGGAAAAAAGGGTGGGTTTTTAGAACAAACACAGTACATGTTCCGGAACACACGCTGAGTGCCCCATAGTGTCCCTTATGCACAGACCGTATAGAAAAGCTACTGTAAAACAACACACTTATGCATGCACACACAACTGCCTTGCATCAATCCATGTACAAAAAACTGAAAAAACTAATCACCACAAACACACACACATCAATCAGAAGAAAAGTAATTTAGTTTGATTATATTGGCTCCTGACTGATTGACCCACACTTTCAACAGCCTGTGGAGAAAACTCTTAAATAATAGACTAACCTATTATGGTCAGAAGTGATATACATGCACCAACACAAAGCAGACTGTGACATTAATAATTTGTCTATTTAGAGGATGAAAAAGTGTTGAAATTGGAAGGCTAGAAGAGGGTGAACTGCACCTTCATTTTAGATGTGAAACTAACAGCACACCTCGTTTCTGTGGGAATTAAGCTGGGGAAAGCTTTGATTGGTGGCCTGATTTGTGCTGAAAGAGCTAACTGAACAGAAACAATGTTCTGTGTGGATGTATTTTTATTGTTACAGTTATGTATGTTTAGTAACGTGAGAGGGATGCAGCAATATGGAATTTGTGAGTCAATACCGATATCTTAATTTTTTTCTACGTATGTATCTGCCGATACCCATGTCGATATACGAGCACTTATAAAATGTAGAAATCGGGCCTAGATCTATCTGCATTAGTATTACAGAGAATTGTAACATTTTCTTAGAGGGTTGTAAGTGCCGTTAACTAATCAAATACAGACAGTTTAGCACAGCAGCATCAGCTAAACATTCTTCTGTTGCAGAGTACAATTATCTATTAACGGTTTGAAATAGAATTGGGCATATGATATTTTATCATTATTACAATAACTGTTCTTATCGTGATAAAAAAATACGCTTTTCTAAGCGTATCATGATCACTGACTAACTGCATGTTTCATCAAGAAGAGAACATATTTAGTCCCGTTTAATTGGATTAAGTGCAGCGCAGTATGTGAAATGTTGACTAAAGGTACAAAAGTTTTTGTTGGTAGCTTTTAAACGTGATGCTACTTGTTCAATATGTCTGTGTCTAAATATTGAGATATGCATCATGAAAATGTCTTTGTATGTCATGATATGACATTTTTTTCCTGGTTTGAAATTTCAGTCAAATTTAAACATCTGATGCCACCATTTCCTTTAAGCAAATATCTCCACTATTTGCTTACACTGGAAATAATTCCACTATCATTGCACATCCCTAATGTGTAAATGCAGCAACTATGTCCGTTGCTGTTGTTATATTCTTGCAACTCACATTAGTACACTGGTCAAGAACAAAAGTCCTGTTAGGGACTAACCGATACAGAAATTCTGGGCTGTAGGAAATTTATATTTCTGAGTCAATATGTGCCAAGAGTAATGCTGATATCATATTTACATTTATGCACCAATACAAAGATGAATGCTTCAGAGAAAAAATATCTATGTGTCGCAATCACCTTCTATGACATTTTGTAGTTAAAGAAGTGTTGCTATTGTAAAACAGTTGTAATAGAGATTAATAACCAAGGTTTCCTGTTGTTGGTTTTGTAAGATTTAAGCTGGCCTGACACGTAAAAAGTTTTAAACAGCTGCATAATTCATCATTTGTTAATTTAATCGCAATACTAGCCTCAGCAATAGACTGACACTGCAGAAGATTTTAATACGTAAATATGCACCCCATCAAAATCACCACAATCTCTTGTCTGCTGTAAGCACCCTGACTATCCAGTTGCAAATCTTCCTGATAGTTTTTCTGTGTTTCAAAAAGGGCAAGGCATTCATGTGACTTAACTCATGTAAATCATTTTGGCCAAATCATTTACAAGTTAATATTTAACCATGACACAATAACCATTCTCAAGAGTGTGTTTAATGTAGCACAATATGCGGCAACAGGGTTGCAATATGTTTTGTCCATTCCGAGCAACCACAGAAAGACTGTTTCTCTGTATGCAAACAAAAGCTTTATGAACACTACAAGAACACAACTGTTCACACAGAGTCAAGCTTACAGAATGAGCAACAATACAAAATTGCAAACTTGCTGATTAGTTTAAAATTTCAACCATTTCATACAAAACAGCAACTTCAACTGGAACATCTGAAGACATCCAAGTCATGGAAACATCAGGACATGTTTGGGCAGCGTGACTCACTACTTCTCTAAATGCATAATCACAGTGTACTTTAAGATCGTACAGAGTTAACCACTTAACCAACCCTGCTGCTGTAGTGTGAAAGTAGGCCAAGGCATGCTGGGAGTGTTGAGCCTGTTTCAGCACTTTGACCCCATTCTGGGTGACACAGCCTTTAGTGTTGCTCTTGTGGCAGCTGACCTTCAATATTTTGTTCATTGCACATTCTGAAATTAATCAGTTGTGTTTCAGTGTTGCAGTGCGCCAACAGAAAGAAAAAGCCACCAATGTTTTCCTGTTTTGTGTCCGTCATTTTTCATGAGCAAAATAAATATACAACCATATTTGCAACTGTGGAGTACACTGGAAAAAACACAGCCTATAAAGCAAAGGCAGCTCTGTACAATTCCTGAAGCACCAAAGCTTACACATTTTCCCCTCACTTTTAGATTAGCCCTTTGGCCACTACCAATATATATTTTGTTCTGAGCAACAGAATCAGACATCATAGCTTTTTTTTTGTGTCTGCATTGCTGTGAGTGTGTGTGCGCAGGTTGTTTTTTGTGCCTGTTTTGTGTGTGTGTGTGTGTGTGTATGTGTGTGCACATGCATGTCCTTGTGGGAATAAGTGTAGCTGTGTGTGTGAAGGTGCATACTTGTGTCAAACACTTGTAAAACATTTTGTTAAAAGTCAGATCATGTTTGACAAAACACCAAAAGCATTAACATTTGCTGTACCTAACTACATGGACAAAAGTATTGGGACATGTACGAACTACACCCACAAGAGCTTTTATGACAACCCATTCTAAATCCATATGCATTAATATGAAGTTGGTCCCCCCTTTGCAGCTATAACAGCTTCGACTCATCTGGGAAACTTTCTACAATATTTTAAAGTGTGTCTGTGCGATTCTTGCTCATTCATCCAGAAGATTATTTGTTAGGTCAGACACTAATGTTGGATGAGAGGGCCTGGCTCACGAGCTCCGTTCTAGTTCATCCCGAAGATGATCAATGGGGTTGAGGTCAGGGCTCCGTACAGGCTAGCCAAGTTCTTCCACACCAAACTCACCCAGACATGCCTTTATGGACCTTGCTTTGTGCACTGGGGTACAGTAATGCTGGAACAGAAAAGGGCCTTCACCAAACTGTTCCCACAAAGTTGGAAGCATACAACTGTCCAAAATTACTTAATATGCTGAGGCATTAAGATTTTCCTTCAGTGTAGCTAAGGAGCCTAGGCCAATCTCTGAAAAACAACCCCATAGCATTATCCCTCCTCCACCAAACTTTACAGTTGACACAATGCAGTCAGACAGGTAACGTTCTCCTGGAATTCGGCAAACCCAGACCATCAGACTGCCAGATAGAGAAGCGTGATTCGTTACTCCATAGAATACGTTTCCACTGCTCCAGAGTCCAGGGGCGGTGTGGTTACACCACTCGTGGTACCATGAGTTGCCCTGACAGCAGCAAACCCCGTCATTTACATCACCATACACTCCCTGGCAGGCTGTGCAGGGGTATTTGCCGTTCTTCCTTTATGTTCTTTTCCTTTGGTTGTTTATTGTTCTTTTTGGTAGTAATGTAATTGATGCAGTATATGCTTGTTAAATGGTACGTGGGGGACTGGGCCCTTGTTCTGAGCCTCCTTTCCCATTTTGGAATGCATTAGATCACAGAAGGTGACTGGTCTTGTGCTGACCTCTATAGAAGACCCAAAAACAGAGGCTGTTCATCCTCCTCCTGATTGTTTAAGGTGTCTTGCTCATTAATGAAGACTT